CCTAAACCCACAGCACCAGGGCAGAGGGTCTCCAGGATGGGGTGGGGGTCAGAGGCCCTGCAAGAGGAGGGCCGAGCCCCCAGGGCACTGCAAGCACCTGCCTGCCCCCTCCCCAGCCCTACTGGTGCCCAGGCCCCAGCAGCGTGGCACAGGGCAGCCCCCAGCTGGGGAAAGAGAGCAGCAAGAGCACGGCCCGACCCCAGGCTTTGGCCCTGCACCAGGGAGGATACGCTCAGAAGGGATGTGGGCACGGGGCAAGGCACCCACTGCGGGAGATGAGCTGCTGCCCAAGACACCTCGCGCCTTCCCCAGGAGCCAAACTGCTCTCTGTGGGGTGACGCAGCACATGGGGGGGGACACCCCTCCCGCAGCCCCCATGGTGGATGGGCAGGATGCAGGGTGTGCCCAGCCAGCAGCTAAGCACACACCAGCCCCAGTGCACACAGCCAGGTGCCGAAGCATCTCTGCCACACGAGAGGGAGCGAGGGCGGCTCAGCACTGTACATGCCACGGGAGCGGTGCCAAGCCCAGAGCTGGCACATGCCCACCCTTTGCTCGGTGCCAAGGGGGGCCCCGTCCTGCTCCGGGAGTGCTGCCAGCACTGGGGCCCAGCCTGGCAGAGCTGCCGTCTGGCCCGGCGCTGTTAACAGTCGTCTGCAAGCCCTGCCGGGGCCATTTAGCACGAAAGCTGTTGGTACCCGGGCACCCAAGGCTGGCGGCAGCGACTCACGCAGGCAGGGAAAGGGGAGCAAAGCTGCAGGCAGGGAGATGCCAAAGCCTCCCTGTCACCTCTGCTATGCTGGGAGGCTGCTTTGGGCAGGCAAGCAGGCAGGGAGGGGCCCTGGCTGGCCACAGCCCCCTGACCCCCAGTGCTCACCCAGGAGGTTAGGACAGCAGCTGGGGGTGGCGGGGGGACAGCCTGGCCCCACGGGGCGAAGGCTGAAGTGAAGTGTTGGTTTCCCAGGCCAGGGGCCAGTGTCAAGGTTAAAGCCAGGGCGGCCAACTCCTGCTGCAACTATGGGGCTGCCCCTGAAAGGGAGCGAGGAGTAACTGAGGAGGGCTGGAGCCAGCCCCTGCCCGGCTCCGCACCTTAGGGTGCCTGACGGGAGGAAGCGGAAGGGAGGACGGGGAAGGGACAAGCACCACTCCTGCTGCTCAAGGGTTTGCTCTGTATTGGAGTCTGCCGCCACGCCGGCATGGTTAGGTCCGGGGCAGGCTGCACATCTCACAGTGGTCCGTGCCCGGCTGGTTCATGAAGGTGCAGTGCTGGCAGGCCCACATGGCCGCTGACACGGCGTGTGTCGAGCCGCCCATGGCACCGTATTCCTGTAGTCCTGAGATCTGGACACCGACTGTGCCTGTGAGAGAGAGAGCGCCCAGTCAGAGCAGAGGGGAAGCGCTGGGACCAGGTGGGTCCCCTGCCTAAATCCAGAGCAAGTTTCTTGTCCCAACCCAGGCAGGAGCCTCCCTGCCGAGATGCTGCCCTCACCGCCAAGGCCAGCACCCTGGGGAGGCTCCCAGGCGGTGGCAGATCTCAGCACCCCAC